TTCGTCCGCTTCGTCCGCTGCTCCTCCCGCTCCTGCTCCTCCCGCTCCTGCTCCTCCCGCTCCTGCTCCTCCCGCTCCTGCTCCTCCCGCTCCTGCTCCTCCCGCTCCTGCTCCTCCCGCTCCTGCTTCGCCCGCTCCGGCTAGCTCTCTTGGCCCCCCGTTCGTTTCGTACGTCAAGATAGAGAAGGGCTGTTTCTACTGTCATAATAAGCACCCTTCTGGCCTTCGGTATACGCACAGGAACCACTGCCCCTGGTTCCACCACCACCTTGCAGTGGGCACTTGCCACTTGAATGACCGTGGTGAACTGTGTCTTGGACCGAAGCGAGCACTAGCTCAGCCCCTCCCTTTCTGGAGCTCTACTGTGAGCCAAGGGGAGCAGGTAAAGCGCCGTACGGACGGTACGGAATGGGACGAGGTAGTGGAAAGGAGGGTTTGGAATCCTATGGTATTTCGCTCTGGCAGGATCTCAGTGGAGCAAGTGCGCTCTTACTAGCTTGCTGCCTACGGTTCGCAGACGTATGGGAGCTAGTTTAGTGGGTTACTTACGTAGCTGGCTCTTGGTTTGGTTTATTAGTTTGGTTTATTGGTTTGGTGCTTTATTCTTTGGTTCGGTACTCGGGACGAGTACTAGTTGGTTGGGGACGTGTGTAGTGGGGAATTAGGTGACGGGTTACGTGGCTGGTCAGGTGCTCTCGCGTATCCACCACCCATATATATAGCTCTCTCCTCCTCTCCTTCTCTCCTTCTTACCATATAATGGTATCCCGAGTACTCCAGTTCTCAATATATATTTTAGTGTCCCCACGTGCCCCTCTTCAATAATAGTATTAACCTGCTTTTATAAATGCCTTAATTCTTTTATAATTTTAGCTTTATTAGAGTTCTATTAAGCTTATTTATTATTTTTAAAATACTTTATATTTTCTAAGAAGTATTTTTTCTAATTATAAGTCTAATAAACTATACTTAAAGCAGAACTAGTACTTTAGTAAAGACTAGAAGAGGCTAAAGTATTACCTAAATATTTCTTATATAATCTTCGGAATTTCTTTTTTTTTAATAGTTTTATAAATTAGAATTCACTAAATTAGAGTTCTTAAAAGCAGAATTATCTTTACTATACTTCTCTATTTTTGCTTTCCTTAATTTAGAATAAATAATATATTCTATTTTTTGAGCTTTCTTAAACTATTCGAAAACAAATATAAGTATCTAATAAGTCTTATAATTAGATAAAATAATATTAAGAGTTCGGATTTGATTTCTTTTATAATATAGGTTCTAGTTAACTTTAAAACTAATTATTTAAATATATAACTGGGTAACTATTTATTATTTTTCTAATAAAGATCTCGAAGTTCCTTAAAAGTATTTTACTAATAAGTTTGAGATACTTGAAATATATTAGCTAAATAGGCCTTAAATTACTTCTAATAAATCTTATATAATAATAGGCTTTATTTTATTATAGCCTTCTAAGTATTATAAGATTTATTTCTAAGGATACTTATAATAGAATTAATTCTAGAAAAGTATTTATTATAAGTTTAAAATTAGATTCTAAAAATTACTTTCTAAAAAGATATAAATATTCTCTATTTCTTAAGAAACTTTCTATAATATAAGTCAGGTATCCGGATCTTAAAAAGCTTTTTTTAATTTAAATATGTTTTTAGAATATTATATAATAGCTTCTAATAAATAGTATTAAGATTACTTTCAAGATTTATTATATTAGGAAAGAAAATAGGTTCTAATTCTAATTCAGGAAATTCTCTAGTAAAAATTACTAAAAAAATAAAAATAAACTTATAAATAAAGTTTTTATAAGATATAGTAAACTATAAGATATTTCGGAAAGTATTCTTATATTACTCTAATTATAGAATATATTAATTAATTATATTTACTAATTCTTGCTTTTATTAAAGTACTTTAACTTTAGTATATAAGTATTATAATTCTTAGATACCCGGTATCTGAGATGCCTTGCCAGATACCAGATGCCTCTTAGGCGCACGTGACGCGGCCGCCTCACTAGGGAAGTATGCTTGGAATATACTAGAGATATTTAGAAGGCTAAGCCCCTTCGGGACTAGCATACTATAGGGTATATATACTCCTTTATAGCCTCCTATATTCTAGTTTTTCCTTCCTTAGCTTTAAATTGTCTTTATAAGAAACCTTTTATCTTGCTTTCTAAGCCCTAAATATTATACCCGTAATAGTATTTAAAGCTTACTTCCTTTAATTCTATAGAGAATTTCAAATAAACTAATTTAGAACTATTAGAAATATAGGTACTACTAAAATAATAGAACCTCAGGAATACAAGTATAGACTTTAGAATAATAAAAGCAAAAAGCTTTAGAATTCTTAGAGAAATCAGGTATTTATATCTTTATAAATATATACTAGTAATATATTAGAAATCCTTTCCCGAAAACCCGAAAATTAAAGAACCTCGAATAAAGGCTATTCTTTAATTAAGTTCTAGAGTAATAGGTATCTATAGGCCAGTAACTTGACTACTACTTTTAAGCCTTACCCTATAACCTTATAGGCCCTATATATATACTAGTAATAAGACTACTAGGGAGAATATAATAAAGGAAAAATATAATAGGTTAATTTCCTAGAATATTACGTAACCAGGAACTATATTAACTTCTGCTAAGGCTTCCGGTAAAGCTCCTATTAGTTCAGGTTATCCTGTTAGTAGCCTTTCCCGAACTAAATATCCTATTAGTATTTCTAGAAAATTTATAAATAAGTCTATAGAAATAGAACTCTCTACTTTTATTATAAAGCTTCTAGAGACCAAAAACTATATTATTACTAGAGAATTATATAAATAGGCCAAGGAATCCAATATTTTACTCTCAGATATTAATATTATTATAAAAAGCTACTAGAAGAATATCTAAAGAGCTATTTTATATAAGAATACTTATAGTTATAATAAAGCTATTCTCGAAAATACTAAGCTCTATAATACTAAACTCGAGAATAATATTAAATACTATATAGTTATAGTAAATCGGCTTATAATAGCTCTAGCTACTTCTGTTTTGCCTACTCTGGCTACTTTAAATTTCTTTTAAAAGAATTCTAAACTATCTCTTACTTATTCCCGCCCAGAATCCCCTATATCTTATACTTCCTTTAGAAGTACTAGAGTTACTAAGCTCTTAGATCTAATTCTCTTTACTAGAGATTATACTATCTTTAATAACTAGCTAGTTTAGATTAAAAATAAGCTATAAGGAAATACTAATTTATATTTCTTAGAGAATCTCAAGATTATTTATATTTCTAGTAAACTTACTAATAATACTCTTGCCCTAACTAATTCTTATATAAATAAAGATAGTCCGAATTAGTACTATTAGCTTTTAGAGTTCTATTTCTATCTAAAGAAGCTATACTCTAATTCTAATAAGATATAGAATACTTACTATAACTTTAATAAGCTTTAAATATACTCTAATTAAGTATTTTAAGAATTCTATACTCTTTTCTTATAACTATTTATAGAAAGTAGTATTAGTTTTTAAAATATTAAGTATAAATTAAATAAGAAGCTTTTATTAAAGCTCCAGAAATTAGTATATATATACTATAATAATTCTTTTATTAATACTATTTGCTTTACTTAATACTATATTACTAATAATTAGTAAATTAAGACTATATATAAGAAGACTAAGAAATATAAGAAAATAAGAGCTATTCTAGCTAAGTTTACTTCTAATACTATATTTCCGTATATTTCTAAGAAATATATTTCTAAGAAGAAGTCTAAAAAGCCTATATTAACTATTCTTATTAAGTATATACTTTCTTATAAATATAAGTAATATCTTATAAAACCAAGAACCTCTTAATTATTAAGTACTTTAACTATAACGAGTTTAGCTACTATATTAGATACTATCCGGTTCTATATAGTAAGGAAACTAAAATAGCTCTTTCTAGAATTAAGCCAGGCTTAGTTCCTATTTTTCTAGAATATTTTATTTTAGTAAAGTATTTAAAGAATTCGAGTTCTAATTCTGGTATAAAACCGGAAAATAAGTATTCCTGAAAAAAGTCTTTATTTTAGGGGCTTATAATATAGATTTAATAGAAATTAACTTAATTTGTTTAATAAAAAAAGATATTCTTATAATACCTTATATTATTAGTATAAATAAATTAGGAATTAAGTTTTCTTTTCTTATTAATACTAGAGCTAATAATTACGCTTTTATTAATATAAAGCTTACTTAGCTTATGAAGTAATTTTTGGGAATAGAACTATAACTTCTTCTTTTATTCTATATTATATGCAGTTTTAATAGAAAGCTAGCTAAGTTTACTAAGAAATATATAGAAGTCTTATTTCTAATTAATAAATAAAGTATTAATATACCTATAATTATCCTGAATCTTAGAGATTATAATATTATTCTTAGTAGAAAATAAGTAATATATATTAATATTCTAGTTAATTATAGAAGATATAGGCTTATATAGCTAAAGAATAAGCCTAAATCTATATAATTCGGTTATATTATTAGTATTTTATAATAATAGCTAGAGAAGTAACCTAATAAGAAATATTAAAAGAATACTAATTAATAAGATTCTATTATAAGCTATTTCTAGAAATCTTTCATTCTTAAATAGTTTTCCTTCTTTTGGACTAATTAGAGAAAATTATATAAAACTATAGAAAAGAAGCTTCTATAGCCTAATTAAGATATAATACTTAAGTAAAAGCTAAAGAAGCAAGAAGAAGTTCTTAATAAAGAGCAAATATTAGACCTAGCTATTCTTATTTCTATAGTATTTAATTATATAGCTAAGAGAGAAAATAATATTATTAGTTAAATCTCTATTTATAAGATTAATAAGAAGCTTAAAGCTCGGAAAAAAGAAGCTATTTCTGGCCTAGAGAATTAATAACCGGGAGAAATAGAGCTTTAGTAATTATAGAGAATATTACTCCCGGAACAGGCTACCACTCCGACGTCAGTTATGAGCACCAACCGCCTGGCATCACAATCCTGACGCTCCTCTCCGTGCCCTCTACAGGCGGTGATACAGGATGGGTTTCTCAAGTGGCTGCTTACGAACGTCTTTCTGATCCTATCAAGAAATTATTGGAAGGGTTGAGAGCTGAGCATAGCGGGTTCCCACAAGGCGAAGGCGCACGAAGAGATGGGAAATTTGTACGTAGAGAGCCAGTCAAATCGGAGCACCCAATCGTTCGCGTTCACCCCGTAAGCCTTACTCTTTGTCTCCCCTACCCCGCATCCACCTCTAATAAATGATTCAGGGAACAGGCCAAAAAGCGCTCTTCATCAACCCTGGCTTTACCAAAAAAATCCTCGGTCTCAAAGACGAGGAATCTGACGCCCTTCTGCAACTGCTTTTCAAACACATCTCCCAAAGTCAAGATATTCAGGTAAGGGTCAGGTGGGATGATACCACCGTTAGTCTGTGGGATAATCGCGTTACGGCGCATACGGCAATTAGCGACTACGACGTTGAGGATGGAAAGGAGGGGTTGAGGCATGGGTTTCGGATTACGACCTTGGCCGAGAAGCCAGTGGGGGTGGCGGGCTTGGCGAGTGTGTGGTAGGTTGACTGGGATACGAGGTATGGTGCAAAAGGTTCGGTTTCGAGGGGTCACCGACGAGAATTCTAGCTTATCGTTCTGGGTTCGGGTGGGAAGCATTGTTTTGAGATGAACAGTTTACCAATGCGACATGATCAAAGCCCAACCCCCGAGCTATGGCGAATTTTGTTTCTTGGTGCAAACTTCGCGGCAATTGTTGGTAGCTGCGGTTATGTATCCGATCGCGAGATTGCCGTTCAGTGAGTCGCCTTATTATTCGTTCAATCAATCCCTCGCCAATAGAGTTACCTCCTTGTTTCATCGATGCGACTTGGTTCGCAAATTGTCCCCCCATCCGGATCAAATCTGAGGAACCCGCACCCCTCCCCCTCTCGGGCACCTGTGGGAGGAACCTTGAAAAGCTGCTTTGCTGAACATGCTATTGCCTGCATGTTTGGCTGTTCTGGTCACCCTCATGCAGGGACCGCTCATCGATCCGATCAACGCATTATATCCGTCTGTGCAGTATCCCGCTCCACCATGGATCTGCCTTCGATGCACGGCTGTGCGGAAACATTGTCAAAGCTCCCCAAAGTCATTACGCCAAATCCTCACCCAATCGCGAAGAAATGTTTCATCATACCAGGGATGTTGCCATCCTAAGCGAGCCTGGTAACATAGCCTGTGTTGCAAATAAAGTTCACCGGATGGAGCGCAACCTTCTTCCGATCGCCAATATAAAGTTTGGTTGGCGGAAAGTATATGGGGAAGTGAAACTCCGTCAAAGCCACTTGCTCATTGCAACCGCCTCGCAGGGGAAGTCCCAACAACATAATACTCAAGTGTTCTCCTTCGCAATTAACCACTCGCAAAGTGTTCATCAGTTCTTTTATATTTGTTAGATTCTTGAATTTGGGTTTGTCAGCATCCTTGTTCCTTTTCTTCTTCTTTTTTCTTTTACTCTCCGCGCCGACTACGACAAATCATGGCTTCAGAGAAATCGATGCGAGAGTACGGCGCTGCTCAAAGCAGTGTGTACCTCATTACTTCAGATGGCCGAACCTTGGAGTTGCCTATCCCTTCGCGATCACCTAATGACCCACTCAGGTGGAGCCTGTTAAAGCGGATCACTGTTATGGGCGTAATCTCTCTCTTTACAATCGTTGGCTTGATCCTAGTACAGGGAACAAGTCTTCTGTTATTAGCACTGGAAAATGAATATTCTCCGGAGGTGTGATTTCGTTCCAGACCCAGCTCAAATGGTTTGCTAACCTGTGCATAGAGTATCAAACCGCTGCGACTCGATGTCCTCTCTTCCATTCCTTGTCTTTGCTGGGGAATTGGAGCATTGACGTGGGTACCGCTCTCGATGACAATCGGCCGCAGACCAGTTCTCCTGCTAGCCACACTCATTTTGGCTGGGGGTACATTCTTAGCAGCAGTGTCACGGAGTTTCTACTTGCATCTCATCGCTCGATGTCTTCAAGGGCTAGCAGGAGCCGTGTCGCCGAGCACAGTGAGTTTGACGCTGCCATTGGCCACTTCATCAGCTGATTGTTTCAGATGATATTGACGGTAATTGATTTGACATTCATCCATCAACGCCCTCAATGGATTGGGCTTTTCTGGTGTATGACCACTGTGTTCTCTGATCTCGGCCTTACCCTCACTCCAAGCATAATTTCTGCCGGTGGCTCCTGGAGAGCCTTTTACTGGACATGGCTGGGTCCATGCATACTGCTAATCCCTCTGGCGTTATTCTGCGCTCCCGAAACCTCCTTTAAGCGACCACCAATGGCGTTTGACGGGCATATCATATCCCAAACCGACACCGGGAAAATCACAATCTATCCCACTTGGGAAGAAGTGCCCGGCGGTAAGCCTATGCCAGACGAGCCAGCACCGACTTGGAAAACTTCCGCTTTCCTTAAGAACATCACCTTCGGCACGCAGTCCGAAACAGGCGGCTGGCTCGCTATGAGGGCTTTCCCAAGGCAACTCATGTTTTGCGCCTCCAACCCACTCGTCCTCTGGGTCATGCTTCTCAACACTTTCGTGTTTGGAGGTATGGTTATTACATGCCAGACCTACGTCCTGGTTCTCACGTCTCCCCCGTACAATTTCACCTTCAATCAAATCGGCCTTGCGAAACTCAGTCCCGGCATCGGTGCCTTGCTCGCTTACCCTGCCTCGGGGATACTGACTACATACCTAATCCGCGTCCTCGCTTCGCGAAATCGCGGAGTCAGAGAGCCAGAGCACTACCTCCCGTCATTCTTCCTCCCCATAATCCTCAGTTCCGTCAGCCTTGCCCTCTTCGGCATTGCCACCGAGCGACGCTGGGACTGGCGCTGGATCCTCCTCTTCGTCGGCCTAGACTATCTCAGCGCCATCGCAACATTCTCTACCAACGTCGTCTGGGTCACCGAATCATTCCCCAATTTTGCAGGCGCTGCTATCGTCGTCGTTGGTGCTGGGAGCTATGGGACAAGTTTTGTGCTGAGCTCGGTTATTGCTCCTTGGATTCAGGATCAGGGACTGGAGATGACTTATATCGAGTTGGGGGTTGTGACACTTGTGCTGGGCTTCTTCGGGTTTCCGATTAACTTTTGGGGGAAGAGATATAGGGAGTATATTTATGCGAGGTGGAGTAGTACGTAATTTCAAAGGGTTTGTTGTGGTGCTGCAAGGGGTCCTTGTTGCGAGGCAATGACGTGCACCTTTCTGTCTTTACACATCTATATTTGATATTTGCAATTATACCGTATAGTACATACCCCCAATTTTTCTATTTTGCACACAAAAATTTCAGTTATAAGAATACGAGTCATGTAGTATATTCAAAACTTGCCTTTTGTACAACACAACCAGGCCGATGTTCCTTGAACCCTGTCTGATTTCTTGGACTCGATTAAAAAGGGGTCCCAGTCCCTTCTCTCCAGTGCTATCATCCGCGAGGGGGGGCGGGAGGGGGCGTCTTTTTCTTCTTTTTCTTCTGGCAATTTACAATAGGGGTGAAATAAAATGCTGCCGTGACTTTGTTGTGGCATACTGCTACAGCTTATGGTCAGCTTAACGCGTGTCGCACGTGGCAGTGAATGCTAACGTCCGAGGCTCGCCCCTATTGGGCTCGCTTAATTTCAGGCAGCTCTTTATCCTTAATCACCCCTGCCCAGGCAGAACCCTCTGAACCATCATCAACCAGGGTTTTGCAGTGCATCTCCATAATAACCATAACTAACATCCTTCCTTACCTTCGTAGGAATTACCATACGATAATGGCTGCAAACGATACGCATAGCGAGCTGGAAGATGTCGACAGTGCAGAACCAGTGCTCGCCAGTGACGATGATTCCGAAGCTGTAATCGATACAGAGCAGCTGTGGGGGCATATCGCTAGCTCCAAGGCAGCCCGACGCTGGAAATATGTCCGACTTCTCTTGGGAGCGGTTTCGCTTCTTGTGCTTGTTGGAATTTTCGTTCGATTATCGACGTGGAAGAGACCTTTCGATTGTAAGTTTGAAGCTGCTCCTGACCTCTCCTACTAAGGTTCTGTTGAATAGAGAAAGAAAAGGTTTGGCCAAGTCTAATTATCCCTTCCAGTCATATCTCACAAACAACCACAATTCTTCCCCGAGTACCAATCCCAGCGGGTTCAAATACGCTACGGCCCATTCACTATCCCTGGAAATGATCACAACAACGGGATGAGGAATTTCGAGATTCGTGACGCGAAAGCTCCATGCCAAAATTGTATGATAGTGTGGATGCAAGCAAGATTAGAGTTGCTTGAAGACGGACATGTTGGCGCGGAGGAAGAGCTGTGGCTGCATCACACTGTTCTACATAACGAGGCAAATGGAGCGTTGCATAATTGTGATAAAGCAAAGAGAAGGCAGAGGTTCTTTGCGACTGGGAATGAGAGGTCTGTTGTGGATTTGTCAGTCAATGGGTATGCCGTCTCACACCCGTTTTCCATTATTGTTGTACAAGAAATGGAACCGGGAGCTTCGTTGGAGGGAAATTGCTAATATGAACCAGAACCGAGAAAGTCGGATATTGGTTCGGTAATGGTGATACTATTTCCATGGATACTGAGCTCATGAATGCAAATGAGGGAGAGAGAACAGTGGCGGTGACTATTACCTACGAATATATCCCTTACCTGCCGGAGGAATTCTCTACCGCAACCCCTCTCTGGTTGGACATCGGGGGATGTCATTCTGAGATACCGGTTCCATCCAAGAATAACGAATTTGAATTGGGGAGCCCAGTCTGGACCTCGTCCATCAATGGCCGTGTGGTGACCGTTGTAAGCCATTTGCATGATGGTGGTGTCAATCTTCGTTTGCAAAAAGATGGACAGGACGTCTGCGTCAGCAAAGCGGAGTATGGATCAGTGAGCAGATCTGAAGGCCACCATTACGGCAGGGAAACTAGCCATATTACAAGAATGTTCGAATGTTATGGTGTTGGTAATATGAGCGTAGGGCAAGAGTGGACAGTGAAAGCACGGTACGACCTCGAGAAACATGAACCAATGTTAAATGGGTACGGAGAGCCTGAGCCAGTAATGGGGATTGCAATGGTATATGTTGTTGAAGATTGACTTTTGCGCTAGTTAAATTGCTTGCAATGTGGCGTTTCTATAATGACATTGACATACAGTCGGTCCGACCCAAACACGACAAAACGGTCGCTCTTTTACGCCCATAATAACTTTTCAACTACAATCTTTATTAATTTATACTAAGTAATGTGATTATAGAATAGAAGCAGGCAAAAAATACCTATTAATCGGATTTTTAATATAATTCGTGATTTATTAATAATTAAGGCCTAAAGTGTACGGACCCTTTTTACTTAATTGATTTTTGACTATATAAAGCGCAAAAATTGTTGAACTAGCTAAAGCAATATAGCTAGGGTCACGTGCTTGCAATGTAAACCAAGTAAAACGTACTGAATTGACTGCTGTTCTACAGTGGTAAGTAGCCCGTATATATATAGCCCTGAACCCCCTAAGTCACATGTACTAAATCCCTATGCCAGCTGAACCGATTACAGCTATACAGGGTATTCCAGCCGTACATGGTATTCCAGCTATACAGGGTATTCCAGCCGTACAGGGTATTCCAGCTATACAGGGTATTCCAGCCGTACAGGGTATTCCAGCTATACAGGGTATTCCAGCTGGACAGGGTATTAAGCTAGTGCACAGCCCCATGGCGTTCGGTTCCAGGGCTTACTAAGCCTATTAGGGGCCTCAGGCCCCTAATTTCAACAAAAATATTTGCTTGCTAAGGTCACGTGAGCCCGGATTTCAGGGAGAGATTAGGGTATCTCACTAGCCTTATTATTAATAGAATAATAATAATTAAGCCCTATAAGCTTAATAGAATCTTTCCAAGTACTAAATATAGCTTTTTCTAGTATTATATATATTATATATATAATAGAGCTATAATTATATAGGTTTCGAGCTTACTTTTAGCTAAACTAAATCCATAAACCTAGCTTCTTATTTAGCTACTTTTTTTTCCTTTCTTTTATATATTATCTTATTTATCTATTACCTTTTTAGATATTATTCTATAGTATTTTTGCTTTTTTATATATTAAGTAGCTTGTTTAATACTTAATTTCTTCTAATATATATTTATCTAGTAGAATATATAGTTACAAAACCTCTATATAGTCTTAATTAAATAAGCTTTAAGTGCCTCTACTACCTTAACCTTAGTATCTGGAAAGCTAACTTTCTTTACTTAATAAAATCGAGTTTTACTATATCCCTAGTATATCTTAATTAGGTTAATTTCGTAGTAGAACTTTAGTAGAAATATAGCCTTATATTCCCGCTCTATAATAAGCTCTTTAATTTGACTTTTTTCCTTAAAGAAGTCTTTATAATTCGAGAGTATATAAGCTAAATAGTACGTTTATTTAATAGCGGGAGGGTATTTAAAAAATATAGTATATTTAGTATTTTTTGAATACTTAAATCTTAAGCCAGGTATATTATACTCTCACTTAATAAGAATCTATTCTATATTTTTAGGTTCTTTTCCTTTATTTAAATTAAGTTACTAAAGGACTTATATAATGCCCTATAATCCCGGAATTATATATTCCGGTAAGAAATATATATTTCTTTTATAGAGCTTAATATTACTCTTTTTAATTTTTCCTGGTATTTTATTTATACTAAAGGCATTTAGTATATCTTTATTATATAAAGCATATATAGAAAACTAATTAAATATTAGAATAGCTATATAATTTGGGTATTTCTATTCAAATATATTAAGCATTCTAGTAACTTATACTAGTAGCTATTTTATATCTTACTAGGAGTCTCTATTTGAGCCTAAATATATAATTTAATAGATATTTAAATTAGGGTTATCCGGAATAAAAATGCCTTTATTATTTAGTACTCTAATATGCCTCTTAGGCCCTATAAATTTAGAATCGTGAATTAGCTTTTCTTTGCTCTTTCCTAGTATTTTTTACTAACTATTTACTAGCTAGAGGCTCTTTTTATAATTAAAACTATAGAAATAGCTCTTATTATAAAAGTATATTATATATACCTGAACTCTAATTAGAAGTAAAAGTTAAATTACATATTATATACTAGCTTTATTCTCTTCATACTAGACTATATATAATAAAAGCTCGTTTATTAATAGTAAAAATATCTCTTAATAATACTGAATTATATTAGGTTATTTATATCTATTTATATAAAGCCCTTTCTTAGTTATATAGTAATAAAAGCCGAGCCTAGGAAGCCATAAATAAGCTATATTATAAGTAATTAGCCTTTTAATTATTAATAATAATTAAGGTAAAATCTCCTAATTAATAGTATTTAGGAAGTTGTTTAGTAATATTATTTCAAGCTTTTAATTAATTAACTAAGTCTGGTAGGCTAGAAAAATATCTTTATTATTTAGATAAAAGGTATTATCTCTTTTATTATTCCTAGCCTCTAGTAAAATGCTATACTATTATTAATAGTAATTAAATAACTCCCTAATTTACTAAGCTAGTATCTTTCTATTATTAAAGCAGTAATTACTAGAAGCTACTAAAAGTAATATATTAATTCTCCCTAGTTAATATTGCCCTGGTTTTAGGAGCTATTAGATATAAGTTAGTAACTATATATAAAGTATATAAGTCTTTTATCTATACTAGCTTTATATTTATATTATTAAAGACTTCCTAATAAGTTATTTATATATCTAGAGCTTTATTATCTCTATAAGCATTTCTAATAAAAGTATCTAAAAGTAGCTTATTTATTCTATTATTTTTATTCTTAAGCTTTTGCTCTTTTCTTAATTATATATCCCTAAAAATATTAATTAGCCTCTTAATAATACCGAATTATAGCTTCTTTTATTTAAAAGATAATATAATTATAGGGATTTTAAGCCTAGTAATTTGAGTATCTTTTGTTTTCTAATTATATATATACTTTTATTAAGTTCTTAATAGCTTTACTAATTCCTTTATTAATTTGGAGATATATAAGCCTCTAGAAGCTAGAAATAGTATTAGTATACTTATATTATAATATAAAGATAAGAAACTTACTAGTCTATATTATAAGTCTCTGCTCCTACTATACAAATATAGGCCTCTCTAAAATAATTATCTTATTACTACTAATAATAAGCTTCTACTAAACCCAAAAGAAAGTTGAATTTTTAAGTTCTAACTTATTACTTTATCTAATATCTGAACTATTAGAATTATTCTCTATATTAGATGGTTTCTTATACCATTTATTAAGAGTTACTTGGATTATAGCTTCTTTAGCTAGGGTAAGAACTATAATTAAATCAAGAGTTAAATTAGCTCGCTTGCGCTTCTAAAGGCTTATAGAGATAGCTATTAGAAGTATTCAAAAAGGGTACTTGATTAGGTTTATAGTTATTGAGATATTAATATAATTATAGAAGAGCGGTTAACCTGGGGGGAATAGTTACATAATAACCAAAGTAAAAAAATAACTATATAAAGTATAAAAATATTTGCTTACTTAATTATATATATTATAACTCCCTTAATAATGAAGATATTATAATTTTGAGACTATAGAATTAATTCCTAGCATATCTAGTATAGTTTTAATTAATACGATTTATATTAATTAGTATTATAGTGGTTTTATTTTATTTTATTGTGTTTGGGTCGGACCGACTGTATTGAACTGATCATATGCATCTAACATGCCATTTCCGTTCAGCCCCGGAAGAAAGGCTGGAAAACATTTTCAGCCAAAAGCACTTGGACCGTTGCGGCGATCGATGTGAAGATTTGACCCAGGGGTCGCTTGACCCGATGTTGGGGATTATGTTGATGTTGAGTGTCTTGGTGAGGAGGAAGTTGATTATGATGTTCAGTGCCGAGGACTTCCATCCTGGCCCGAAGCTCTGCAGCTTGAGAGGTGGTAGAATCGTCAGTTTCAAGACCGGGCTCCGGGCCAGTCTTGGCTTTATCGAGCATGGCTTGAGCCCGCTCGAAGTGCCTGTACTTAACGCTGGCGCTACAGCAAGTGCTCCGAAGCTGAGTAACAACAAGCATGCACAGGTTGAGTTTATTTTTGCCAAGGGCCCGACGTAGCAGGATTGAGGACTTACATTCAAATAAATGAATCTGCATCACTAGAATCAATGGAGTGATCATGTGAATGGGGGAATCGATTAGTGTCGACTTAGAGTGTAGGAAAAAATGTCCCACATTATTGGTTTGAGGGGGTGGATGGCGTTGAGCTCTATGATCTTTTCCAAGATAGTATTAGTATTTAAAGCGGTTGTTCGTGTTTGTTCCAGCGCAGCTTCTTTGCTAGTAGCCCTTGACTTGATGCCTCGACCTAGCTTTGTTTCTAAAGAAATTCTATGACACCTCAACATGAAGTCGAAGATTCCCGAGCATGATAGCCCCAATTATGTGCTACGTAGTCGTATAGCTTGTTTAGTTGAAGGCGTTTCTCAAACTCCTCGTCATTTTGGCAAATTCCACTCTCGAACTCATTAAATGACAGGTATGTAACGCAGACTGTTGTGATATTAGTCTGTGTATCGGAGAACGATTGCCTTTACGTTCGCTCTAAGCATTCCTGTGTTGTGCAATGGACTAATCGAATAATCCCACTTTCCTCGTTAATTATAACTAACCCAGCATATACAGAGACTATGTCTTCAATCTGTGAAAAGTTCTCGTCGAGTTCAGATTCGCTAACTTCAACCCCAAGAGCGTGCTGAAGTTCTATAGTAGCAAGTTGGCCTCTTTGCACAGGTAATTCATGACAGGACTTGCCTAGCAATCTCCTCTTGATCTTTGATCTGGCCATTAATCCGTTCCATAGCATCCTCATATGCGTGGTCATATGCTCCAGATCCGGTAGCTAAGTTTTTCAAAGCAGCTCGGATAGCCTTTGGCGATCTCTTCCCGGTCAAGGATTCGAGATGGAGTTGTGTAAGTAGAAACCTAGTACGGTTAGTGTGATTCAGTTAATGCTCGAAATAGGGCTCATCCCCGACGCACCCCACTTCTCCAAGTTTATCCTGATCCTCTTGATTGTAAACCCTTCGGGAGGTCAGTGGCTCACCGTAGCCCACGGACGTAAATAGCTATCAAATAAAATCAAATCCCTTGATTATACGTATATGCCAATTCGAATATATCCCCTTGTTTTGAATTTTCTTTTTGAGGGGTGGTGGAGTGGTTCATTCTTCTTTGATGGCGACTAATTCACGCAATTCATTGGTTATATACAAGAATAGACTCGCCTTGAGTATGTTATGCCACCTTACGCCTTTTAGAAGGAGAGTCCTCTGTATCTTCTGCTTTCTCTTTCTGAAGCGATTTGCCGGTCTTCTGATTGAAATCGAATTCAAAAGTCGTCAGAGCATTCAACCCAAAATTATATCATTTGCGGCCAGTGATCGCTTTCCATTATTCGCTCGAGTGTACGCCCTGCTAACAACATTCTTGATTTGTCGTCTGTTTACTTCCTCCCTCGAAATTCTTTTGAGAAATTTCTCATCGAGCCATTTGTATCGGGCCCCTTTAGGAGATCTATGCGAGATAAATGTCTTCCAGAGCTGAAGTCTGGACCCAGTTGAGAAGGGCGGATAAGCGATTGAGAGATGAATTCGGGATTTGAAAGCGGGGTCTAGTGACTCGATACGGTTTGTTGTAAGGAACATAATCTCTTCGAGGTACTCTAATGCCTGCAAGAGCACTAGCACTCTGTCAGCTTTATGAGAGTAGCGAATATATAATAGGAAAACAAACCTGACACCAGTTCATTTCGGGCGAGTTCATTTGTAGATCTCTCTTCTATAAATACGTCTGCCTCATCTAGAAGCACTATCGCATTCTATTTTGTGGCTATACGGAGGGAGGATCTCAAAGTCTTTTCTACAGCAGGCGGTGGACTACCCAGATCACAACATCTAATATTGTACAACGGTCGCTGTGTGTATTCTGAAATGCTTTCTGTAGACTGATCAGATTCGGAGTCTCTAGGTATTAGAGAGGAAACAAACCTGCAGTAAATGTGTTGAAATTGGTACGCTATTATAGCTAGTTACTAGTCCTTCCAGCACCAGGTTCAACCACTAATTTAGGGTTCTCCACTCTCATTTGTCATACGTCCCTCGCCGAGTTTACCAAGCTTACTAGTATATCGTCATTTTGATCACTTTTGATTTATTAGCTAATTAATAATGTATCGGAGAAAGCGGGCTCGGCATTATCGATATCGCTAATAGGTAATGGGGATAAAGACCCTTACCTTGGACACTTTCTCCTCTGTTTTTGGACTTCACTCTCTTGTATCTAGTCATTCTGCAGACTATCAATCTCCAATATATCGATCATTTTCCCATAAAATGTTTTGCCTACACCTGGTGGCCCGTGCAACAAAAAGATGAGGCCCTTCCCTTTTGTTGAACTAGCTAGCTTGGCTAGCATCCATTCCTTCCACTCCAGGTTCAACCACTAATTCAGTTCGTCCGATTATTGGGTATTACTTACGTACGAGCACACCAATCGTTTATTAGTATTGCCATTCGATTACGTTCCGTAAACGTACGTTCAGGAATCAGATTAGTAAATCGTTCCCACCACCAAGTAAGTGCGGGGTAAATCACATAGTAGGCTGGAAATCAGGAATATAGCTAGGGAACCCATTCCCTCTGTTTTTATGGAATCACTCTCCTGTATCTAGTCAAAACTAGTCATTCTACAGATTATCAATCTCTAATATATTGATTTTCCACCGATAAATCGATCCCAGTTTAATAGGTTATGAGCCCGGATAGCGCCCACTAAGTGCTTTCACATGATCCTCAGGTTACGTGACCTCACTTAGTATTCACCTGTCCATTTCCGATTTTATTAAAATCATTAATTCTATTAAATTGCACCTACTATATTAGCCTTGTATTAGCAGAATTCACTAAAAATACAGCTATTTTTGGGCAAAAGTTCTCCGCAAAATCTGCTATACCGGATAGCAAAAAATCAGTATATATTACCTATAAAGGGACAAAAATCGAACCTCTCTCAGATAGTAATATCTATTCCTGGATAAATAATACCATAAATATCTTTATTATCGAAGATCTATAATAGTATATTAACCCAGATTAAGCTTCTGCTCTTATAGAATCGGCCCAAAAGGATAATAAAACGACTGCTCGTCAAGTAGTAATCGCTTATATGGTACTAAATCTACTTATTACCTATAATACCTGGTAATAATTCAAAGAAATCAAGCTTATATACCAGATCTGGATCCAGATTCAAGCTAAAGTAAACTAGCTAAAAGCTTAGAAAGAAGCTCTATATCTTTAATAGTTAGAAACTATTACGTTTGATTCTAATAAGAGAATAGATAACTTTATTAACTATATTAGCCATAAAATAGTTGAAATCAAGGGTATAAACAGGTTAATTTCGGATATTTCTATATCCGGATATCTGATTTATAGCCTTTTAAAGAAATATAACCTTTATAAACCCCTCCTGAATTCCATTAGAGCTAATATTAATAAACTAAAGCTGGAATTACTCAAAGCGGATACTTCTATTAAGGAAGACAAACTTAGGAATAAAACTCCTAATTCTATTTCTGATTCTATTCTAAAAGTACTAGCTACTCAAGGAAATTAATCAGGAAATCAGTTCAAAAACAAGAATAAAAAACCGAAATATCCCAAGGATCCAAATGTCTATTATATATTCTATAAGTATAAAAGATATAATATTAAGAACTATATAAGCTATAAATTAGCTTAGGAATTCTATAATTCTAAAGGAAAAGATACTAATTCTACTAGTAAAAAGGCGTCTTCTAATTCCAAAGCACCTATATATCCGAAAGTCTATACTATCAGAAAAACGATATTTAGTACCCTTTTTAGTAGGTAATTATCTAATGATTTTACGAATATCTAATATATTAATTCGGGTATTACGGATTATTTTACAGGGAGTAAAAGCTTTTTTATTACCTATAAAGAGATTAATTCATTTCTAATTATCCTTAGTAATAAATTAATAATTCTAATTAAGGGAAAAGAAATCATTCTTTTAGTTACTAAACCGGAGCTAAAAATTCAGTTTAGTAATATACTTTATAGCTCTTAATTCCGGAATAACTTCTTATTATTAATTCCCAAAATTATATAAGCTAGAGATAATATTATATTTTCCCAAGGGAATATCCGAATTATTAATAAAGAAATAACTATTATAACTAGTACCTTTAGTTCCTCTATAGGGCTATATTAGCTTAGCTAATTTGATTTAGGGCATGCCCTGAAAGTATTAAAATCGGAAGCTTTAGCCTCTCTGGAAATGTAATACTAGTAATATAAATATCTGAATGCGAAATATGTTCTGGAATTAGTAAACTATATTTATAGGCTTTAATTCAAGAACCAAAACCTATTCGATTATAATCTATATAATATGAATAAGATTACTAGGGCTAGTATAACTGAGCTATACCCTGAAAAACTACTTCCAGGGAAGTATATTATAATTGACTTATAGGGGCTATTAAGGGTTCTATCCCTTAGTAAGAACTCCTATATACTTTCTACTACTTATAAGGGTACTAAATATTATATAGTAGTATATAATTCGGATAGAAAGAGCTACTTTATAGATCTTTAGTATTAAGTAATTTTTTCTAAAACCTAAACTAGAAATAAAGTCAAGTACCTATACCTTAATAATATTCCAGAATTTATATTAGAATAAGTCAAGAACTAGTATAAATTAAAGGGCATTTGTTTAGAACTAATAATTACTTATATATCTGAATAGAATAGTATTTCTGAATATAGTATATATATAATTATTAAAGCAGAGTATATAGAGCTAGAATAATCAGGCTTACTATACGAGTTTTGGGAGGAAGTAGCTATATATGGGATTTATACTTATAATTAATACTACCTGCCTAAAATCGGTATAATTCTATATAAAGTATTCTATAGAATTAAACCGGATATTTCTAACCTATAGATATTCGGTTCCTTAGTATATATCTATATACCCAAGGAAATAGCCTTATAGTATAAGTATATGGCCAAGGCTTTTAAGGGTATTTTTACTAGCTATAGTAGTTCCGGATATTATATTTGGAACTCGTATAAGTAGATATTTATTATTTCTAACTATTATATTATTAAAGAATATATTAAGGGAATATATTTCCTGAATCCAGTATTCCAGTTATATAAAAGACTAGTTAGTACTACTAAAGATTATAATAATACTTCTAGTAATAATATATATAATCCCGATATAATTTATAGAGATACTATTATTATTAATACTGGAAATTAATAGCTTAATATTCTATTAGAAGATAATCGAGAAAATTACTCTAATATTAAAGGAGATACTGCTTAAAGCGTATTATATAACTAAATTAAGGGTGTTTCTAGTTCAAGCAAAGCTCCTGAATTCCTATTTGGGAATAATAACCAAGAACTAGAACTACTTGTAAATAGTTCTAATTCAGGTTTTATAATTCAGGAGGCGCCTATACTTTCCGAAATAATTCTAGTCAGGGGTAAATTAATCCCTAGACGTCCGAAATCGACTAGAATTACCGGAGAATAGCCTGATCCTCGTATTTTGCTAGTTATTAACCAGAATACCAAAGCTTTAAAAATTCCAATATTAATTAATAAAGCTTTTACTAGTTCTAATACCTATCTTTGGAAACCTTCTATTAGAAAGGAGCTATAATCCCATATATATAATTATATATAGGATCTAGTAATTAGAAAATACCAAAAAACCATCGGATATTATTAGTTATTCAAAATTAAGGCTAACGGGTATTATAAATTAAGGCTAGTAGTATAAGGCTATATCTAATAATATAGTATAGATTACTTTAAAACCTTTGCTCTAGTAGCTAGGCTTTCTACTATATATATTATATTAGCCTTAGCAGCTAAATATAGGCTCTATATTTAGTAAATAGATATCTAAATAGCCTTTCTCTATAGGAAATTAGAAGAAGAGTATTATATAAAATAACCTCCTGGTTTTATTAAAGGTACTAACCTGATTTGCCGCCTATAAAAGAGTATTTACGGGTTAAAACAAGCCCCTAGGGTTTAAAATCAGGTAATTAATAGTTTTTTCCATACTATTAGTTTCCTGAGATTATTTTATAATCCAGTCCTATATATATTCCAAGAGTATAAGATTAATTAGCTACCTCTTCTAATTACTATTTATATAGATAATATAATTATTATTAGTAAAAGTATAGCTCAAATTAATAAAATTAAGAAGTAACTCTATTAGAAATTCAATATAACTGATTTGAGAGAAATTAAAATACTTCTAGGTATGGAAATTATTCGTTTTCAGAACAGTTCTATATTCCTATACCAAAACCGATATCTTATAGATATATTCTAAAGGTATTAAATAGAAGGTTCCATTCCTATTTCTATACTAATAGCTCAAGCTATGGTTTCAGAAGGGGAAGATATTAATATTATAGAATATTAGAGTCATACGGGATTACTTATATAGCTATCCCTAGTATTAAGACCCGATTTTTGCTATACTACTGGATATTTGAGATATTCTAATTCCTGTTCTAAAGCCTCCTATAGCTCTATACAGAAGTATATAATGTAATATATTAAAGGATTACTTAATATAGGTATTCTATATAATGCTTTATCTAAAGAAGGACTTATTGGATACTCAGATACTGATTATAGAGGCGATTTACAGGACCATAAATCAATCTCCGGTATGGTTTTTACCCTATTTGGTAGAGCAATTAGCTAGGCCAGTACTAAACAGAAAACTGTAGTAACTGCTATTGTGGAAGCGGAGTATATTGCCCTTACTACGGCAGTCAAAGAAGCCCTATAGCTAAAGTAACTATTTAAAGAAATATCGATTCCTATAGGACTAATCGAGCTAAAAACGGATACTCAGGGAGCTCTTGATTTAGCTACGAATATACGATTTTCTCAGAAAACCAAGTATATTAATATTAGATATTATTTTATTAGGGACTATATTAATACCAAGGATATTGAGCTCAAGTATGTTCCTATATAGGAAATAATAGCTAATATTCTTACCAAACCATTGGCTAGACCCGCTTTTGAACTGCTACGTTTAAAGCTAGGTATTATTAGCCTTACTGATATCAAACCTCGACTGTAAGGAGAAGGCGTATTAAACTAGCTAGCTTGGCTAGTATCTATTCCTTCCACTCCAGGTTTAATTACTAATTTAGTTCGTCCGATTATTGGGTATTACTTATATACGAGTATACTAATCGTTTATTAGTATTGCTATTCGATTACGTTCCGTAAACATATATTCAGGAATCAGATTGGTAAATCGTTTCTACTACCAAGTAAGTGCGGGGTAAATCACATGGTAGGCTGGAAATCAGGAATATAGCTAGGGAACCCATTCCCTCTGTTTTTATGGAATTACTCTCCTGTATCTAGTCAAAACTAGTCATTCTACAGATTATCAATCTCCAATATATCGATTTTCCACCGATAAATCGATCCCAGTTCAATACCTTTCCCCTCTATCAAGTCATCGAGTGGCGCTGTCTCGACCCCTGGCGGTGGTATGAGAGACGATATCAAATCTTTCTGCTCCTGTGGAATGACCAGACGATCAAATGCATACGTATTGAAAGTTACGTCTCTCAGCCCAGTGACATCGATTATTCTCCAATGTTTAGGAATAAGGAAATATGTAGGTATTCTACTTCCACAGATGAGGAGCTGCTCGTCTGTAAGATTCAAGTAATCCTTGGTCTGTATACTGAAAGTCTTCAAACCTGCAATGAACTGAGGAGGTCTGGAATCGACGTTGATATAGAACTCCTTGCAGTCGACTATGACTCTCTCCAGCTTCTTCCCGCCCCAATTAGCTTATGTAATTTCGTGAAAAGGGATGCAACATACAGTCGTGGCTCGTAGTTTGCTCGCTGGGTCGCTCTGGGAGCATTCTGTTCTACCTCCATATAATTTGTGAGAACGCCACATAGTGAAGCCCATCGCCTACCCCGGGCTACTAACCCCTCTTTGATTCTTTTTTCGTCAACGTGGTATTCGAGAGGAAAAGTTTTGAGTTGGTTAAGAGGCTTACAGCCCTCATAACTTGCTATCTGGATCGTTCCGGCAACAAAACCAAAAGCGTGTCCGTCGCAGGCAATAATCTGATAACAAACTACCCAAACATCCGGAAGGTCATTTTTCTCCTCCAGTCGAAATTGTAGCAAGCGTTGGACTAATTCGGTCCCATTGAGATTTGATATAAAAGAGTTCCTGGCTTGAATGCCATCCAAAGGTGACGATGCTCGAGGCCGGGCGATGCCGTGTTGTTTTCGATCATATTCTTGAAGCTCGAGATCTCTTCCCGAAGGAGCTTGTCTACATACCGCAGACAGAAGCGAACATGTTTCTGCATGTTTTCATCCTGGGCGGCGGTGGCGTATGTTTCTAAGTCGGCGTAGTAATGGAATAGACATCGCGGCTCATCGAATATGTTTAGAGCCCCTTTCGTCTTGAAGTTAATACCAAGGTAGCTACCAACAACGTCTCGCAACGCTTGTTCGATGTATGGCGACTGGATTGATAGGCGAGTACTTTCCAGTTTTTTTGAGACAGTGTAGAATTTTGTGACGACAAGAGCAGCTTCACGGCTCGGGTTATTGTCCCATTGGAGCTCACTACTGGATCCAACTTGAAGCACAATGCGTTCACCACGAGAGACATACCGAACTTGGTACATATGTACCTCACAAATCTCACCAGTGTCAGATTCCACGCCTTTGCCCTCCAAGTCCGGTATTGAATCAGATTCCTCGTCCGATGTGTCTATCGACTCGTCCAAGACGGTCAGAGAATGAGCCTCATTGTCCAATGAGCTTGTTGACTCTGATGGAGATGACTTTTCCCCGGCTGCACTCTCTTGGCTGCCGCCTGATGTTGTTCTTGACCTCAATCTCTGACGTGTTGGCACAAGGCTAGGATTTGTGATGCGGGTTGAGCGGCGAATGGACTGGCAGGTAGAAAACATGCTAACCAGCTGTAAGGACGAAGAATTGAAGCGGCAAAGCAGCTTGGACGCGACGTTACTTGGAGAATTTCAAGCGATGGGACAATTTAAATTTTGTGGCCAATTCTTCAAGGAAAGATCGGAAAGGCTGTTGAAGATGGATATGGTTAGGTCACGGGCCGTTTGTGTTACACGGAAGGAGGGGCTTTGCCGGGCGGAATTTCTGGTCCAGTCTGCCAGACAAGGAATATCACGCTTTTGATATTTGTCTCACAATTCTTCTAAATCTGTTGTTGGATACGGCATCGAATGCTGATTAATGTGGATCAGTGCACTGAGGGTTCAAGGAAACACGTCTGGCGGATCAGAGTTAATGCTGACGAGATAAATCCTCAAATCAACGAGGCAAATGGATGCCTAGGCTACCTGAAGTATCCTGCATGCTCCCACCAAATCACATCTCTCGGACTGAACATCGTCACACAATCGTCAGAGTCCTTTCGGTGATGCACAGCGCGAGCATTTGGAACCTCCTGAGGTTCCAAGACATGAGTTGGCCGCCACGCTTCTGGTGGGTCGTTTCCCTGAATGCGGGCTGCCAACATCCACCACACGAGCAACACCACCAATGCCATTGTATGGTTGGTCCCGAATCGACTCCCGCCCCCATCGTTCCAGCATCTCACTGCCCCCAGTGGTCTCTGAGCCGAAAGCCTTGTTTCCCCTGCCTTGGCTCCCAGATACCGCCATCCCTGAAAACAGCCACTTTCGTTGGATAGTATCATACGGCCCCGGAAGCCGCATTTCCTAAAAGCACCATAAGCGTTAGGTACCTGAAACAAGCATTTGGCAACATTCATGCTCATACGCTGTCGGTTGTTGCTCATTGGACTCCATACTGCTTGACCGTAGCGTTGGGTCTCTGGATCAGAGAAGTTGACCGAGAAGACGAATTGGTATGGGCAAGAAGTTATGCAGGAGTTCACAATATCGAAAGTCGTTGATGCAACATGTAGTATGAAAAGATTGTTTCCAACAATTGGGAGAGAACCGCAACTCTAGGGCTTCTAAACTCTCCTATACTTGGATTGCCTGCCATTATATACATGAGCAACCAAATGGTCTTTTACTCAGAGAACCATTTGAGAACTTTGTTCAAGTCTTTGCCTCCCAAAACGGGCCCTATTTGGGGGACTCACCTGGGGTTTTCTCACCATAATCCCGCCGAAGGACTTTTGAGAACCTTTGGCAATTGAATGGATATAATATGAATCACTCCAGAGTCCCTTCTTGGTAAAGCAAGTTTCAACGGTATTGACAGCCATCCATCCCTTGCATCTTTCTGTGCAGACCTTCTGCGAACTTTTGAAGACCAGGAATGACCCAGTACGGAGAACGCGGCATAAAGTAACGGGATTACAGGTGCATGCATAATTATAGGGCCACTAATAGGGCCTGCAGTGTCTCAGCGAGCCCTGTAAGCCCCGTAATTACCTTCCAATAAAGGCGTAAGGCCCCTGAAAGCTCCCTGAAACATAATGTAGCCCGATTAGGAGGTTACATTAAGGCACAAGCTTTGATAGGGCCCTTAGCCCCTGTATTTTAGGCCTGCATCCGCAATCGGTAGCGGGGTAAAGCTCGCTTTACCCCCCTTCTCACCCCTCCCCAAGCTCTTTACTCACTCTCTTCTTTACTCTTACTTTCCTATTTAAAGCTAGTAATTATAGCTACCTTTAGTAATTTATTTGACTTTCCTAATTTATTAGATAACTAATTAGAGCCTTTCTCTCCTTCTAATTCCTCTGGTTTAGATAAATTAGCCTATAATAAAGCTACTAAAGATAAAGAGAATACCTAATATAATTTATTATCTAATTCAGAAAATAAAGATAATAATTTAATTATATCAAGCCTTATTCTTCTTCTTTATTCTTTTATAGCTACTTCTATAGCTTTTATTATACCCGATATTATATATAAAGAGCATTTTACTAGTACTAGAATTAAGGTTAATAGCCGGTTCCCCTCTTATTACGCTTTACTAGTAGTCGGGAAGAGCAAGTATCTCGTTTAATTAAGTATCCCACCGAGAAAATGCGGGCCCTAAAATTTACGTATAATTCTCACTAAAAAACACGTTTTATAATTATATATTTGGCCCAACTTATTAACTAATCCATTATTTAATTTATATATAAAGATTCCAAAAATAGATATATCTTTATTTCATTCTACTAGAATTAGAGAGATATCCTGGAAGTATTTCTATTATCTATATATTACGGAAGCTAATTACTATTATATGTTTAATAAGGCCTGTAAATAGTACCTTGAGAATAATAATTAAATAATTACTATTATAAGAATATATTAGATTATTCAAGCCGCAATTACCTATTTAAAGGCTATAAATACTTCTTTTAAATCTAATAATATATTTAATATAATTAGACTAAATCTCTCCTAAAATCACTTCCTTTAACTAATTAGTTTAGTTTCTAGATACGGGATTACAAGATATTTTATATAATTAAAATAAAACCAATTATATATAACTCGAGTTTTATATAAATAAAGATATTAGAATATAATTTCGGAAATATTAAGATATTTTAAAAAAGCTTTATATTATAAAAGAAAAGAATATTCTAAATATAAATAAATTAGAAGCCTATATTAGTTACTTTATTAATAAATATATAATTATATCTATAGAAGTAAAGAAGCTATATATAATACGCTCTAAGAATTGCAAATTAGTTATAATAATTAAAATTATTTATATAAATAAATATAAATCTCTTTCTTTATAGATAATTAAATATCGGAAAATCTGGTTAGTATAAAATATATAAAATATATTTCTACCGGATATATAAATAATAATATAGCTATAAAATACCTTAATTATTTAATTAAATATTTAAAAGCTAGTTTAAATAAATCCTGAAAAATATTTCTTTTTAATAAATACAAATCTTATATTTATAAACTCTTTTAATTAAAGGCTAGTAAATATAATATTAAGCTTTTCTGGTTTCTTTCTTATTTAATATATATTTCTTTAACTATTTAATATTAGTATATTTCGCTTCTAAAAGTACTATTATAAAATAGTAATTTATATAGCCCTTTAATTTCTTAATTTTAAATATATAATTATTTTCTTTTTTATAATTTTATTTATATTCATATATAAATAATATAAAAGTATATAATTAAAAATAGTTTTAAAAGTTCTAATATATTTCCTATTAATTATAAAACTAAAATTAAAAAGATATAATTATATTAAAAAAAAGAGATTAAAATAGAGAATAGTATAGATCTTTTTCCTTTATTATCTATTTATTCTAATAAAGTATGAAATATAGCCGCAATTTAATATATATTTATAGATTATAATTCTATAAAGTTTTTAGATAATTTAAAAGAAATTTCAAAGATTACTATTAAGAAAATTAATATATAATTATAAAAAAGTTATTTTTAAATAATAGAATATTAGGCTCTTTAAATAAAGCTTTATAAGAAATATAATTAAAAGGCAAAGTCTTATAAAAGCTTATATAAATAAGGCTTATCTATAAATATAATAGAGCTTTATATTAAGATTAAAGAGAAGAAGGAAAAAAATAATAGAGAGGCTCTTTATAAGGCTAAAAAGAAGCTTATTACTATTATTAATTAAGTTAAAAATTATTTTAAAAATACTAGTATTTAAGCTTATAAAAATAAAAAAGCTAGACTAGTAAAAATTATAAAGTATTAATGAAAAAACAAGCTAATTCCAGTAAAGAATATAGTACTAATTCGCAAATCTAATAAAAACCCTATAATTACTAAATAAGCTTATTATAAAAAGAACTTTTATTCTAATTTATAATTTATAGTTTACTAGCTTAAAATATCCTTTAATAATCTAGTTTCTAATTAACTAGAAGTACTAAATGCCTTTATTAATAGAAATAAGAATATAATAATTAATATTATAAAATAGAAGTATTAAAAAAAGAATATAAGAAAATATATAGATTTGAGTTTATTTTCTTTTAATTATCTAAACTCGTTAAATATAAAAAGTAATATAGGCTCAATTAATAGTATATAAGCAAATACCGATTTTATATAATTCTAGATAGCTTTGTTTTTTTTATAACTAGAATTCTTAATTCTATTATAAATATTCTTAATTTTAAGTATAATATATATTGAAAATTAAATACCGGCTAAAATCTTAATAAAATACTTGCTTTTTCTAATTATAAATAAAGTATAATAAGAGGGGAACCGGCTATTATTTATAAATAATATTAAGAAAACTATAAAAGTATTTAGTACTTGTATTTATAAGTTTATAAGCTTTATTAAATAATATAAATAAAAAGAATATAAGAATATATTTCTAAAAACCTCTTATATAATTAATTAATCTTATTTACTATAATTAAGTATATTTTATAAATAATGCTTTAAAATTTAATTACTTGTAATTTCTTTTATATTATTATTATAAAGAAAGCAAAAAGAAGAAGCTATAAGATTATTTTTTAAATAGTTTAAAAGATTCTTATAATAGCTAGTTATTTTTAATATAAACTAATAATAAAGTCTGGTTTAAATAAGTTTAATAAAAAGAAAAGGCTAGATTAGTATTCAAAATATAAGTATTAAAGTTTTAATAATTAGAAATATATAATTTTTATAAATAGAATAATAATATAATTAAATAATATATAAAAAAAAAGAATTAATCTAAAGGCTTTTAAGGAAAGGTTATAATAAGTATTATATAAGAAAATACTAGAAAGGCTTTTTTAAGTTTATATTTTAAGAATTCTTCTTATATAATAAAAAGAAGGCTATATTATATATAAGAAAAAGAAATAGCTTAATAAAAGCAAAAAAGAAAAGCTAACTTAAATATAAGGAATTTCTTAATTAAAAAGACTAATAAATAGAAGTAAGAAAAAAAGTAAAGAAAGTAGCTAAAAGACTAGATTAAAATTTATAATTATTATAATTTCTAGATATTTAATATCTGAAATATCTGGCCAAATATTAGATACTTCCTAAATATATATAA